ACGTCCTCCGCGACCGCGGAGGAGCCCCGCGCAGACAGAAACCCTCGTGGTGCGCGCTCGCCCGCGGGCACGTTCCCAGCCTCGCCAAGGGGCCGCCTTGCAAGCGAGCACGCGCGGGAGCCCTCACCTTCCCCAGGAGCGAGGCAAGGCTCCCTAATTCTTTCGATGCCCCGTTCTGTATCTCCTCCAGCTCCTTGCAACTGAGAAAAGCAACTGCAAGAGATACTGTAATTGCCGGCGGCGTTGATACGATGTGAGCCTTCCCCAAAGCACGCAGACACAGACTAGAAGAGGCGGCTTAAGGGTGGCATATTTTTTCTCTTGCGCAATTCCTGGTTAATTTTAGATCCCCACTTGAGGAAAGCGAGAGTGTATTTACCCATGCAAAGAAGGGGGAAGGAAATTACTGAGCGGCTCCGAGATTGTTTCTCCTATCAGCAAGGTTTGGTACTTATCTCCCAATGTTGAGCATGTCCGAGGGTTGGCTTTTCGCAGATGTCCTTGGGAGCAGGGCTGGACCAGGCAAGAAGCCAAGCAGAAGGACAAGCAATCGCCCTAGCTTTATGCCACATCCTTCCCCTGGAAGGAAACATTGCATCAGGGAAGCAGAGCTGCGTGGGCACATCAGCCAGCCCGTTCACACGATGAGAGGAAGCTGGTCCCGCTGGTATTTTGGCCTGGCTGGGAGAAGGTTCCTACAAAAGGCCGAGCTGAAGAGCTGCTGAAGGCAGCACTAAGGCTGCGTGCCGCAGGAGACCCATCTGGGAGCAGGAGCCCGGGGTGGGCAGAAATGTTTTTGCTTGACGTGCCGCCGAGGTGCCTATGGTTTTGAAGTACAAAGCCGTGCCTGGAAAGAAGCTTGGATTCAGGCACAAGTCCTTTCTGGTTTGGGGAAGCCAGCCAGTCCCTCACACAGCCACTGTGCATCTGAGCTAGTAAAGCTGGCCAAGTCTTTGGCTCACAGCCCTGCAGATCCAGGAGGCTTCCTCACCTCACCTGGCCGTGACACAGCCCCAAGAGCTGACGCAGAAAGCAATCACAGCCACGCTTTCGTCCCTGGGGGGACGTTTCTGCAAGCAGAGGGTGTTACAAGACCTGCGAGGCTGCTGTGCACCTTCTCCCACACCAGGAGAGACCAAATAGCTCCCTCGACCAGAAGCCCACCTCCACCATGAGCTGTGATTAACGCTTAGAGGAACAATGCTAAACCACCCCCCCCCACCCCAGGCAGCCAGGTAAATAACTCCTACTGCCAGTGTGGCCAGGACAGGGGGGCAACTTCATCTGGCCTGGAGAACCGCAGCCAAAACCTTCATGGTGCGCATCAAGACGCGAGCAGGGCCCTCTTTGCAGCACCGCATCACCAAACCAGCACAGGCATCGCTTCACCGCTCTCCCAACACAGGACGGAGCCGGGTGTGAGGGGTGCAGGAAACCCTTGGACTCAACAGACCCCTTCCCTTAGCACCACGTGGACTGTCCAGCACCCTTAGCTTAGGGTCTTGGTATCTCTCAACAGGTTGGGACACCTATTTGTTCCACGCCAGCAGAAAAGATGTGGTGAGCCAGGAGAGCGCCAGGAGGTTACAGGACCTTGTTTGAGCTAGCTGAGCGGTTGGGAGAGGCGGGCGGCTGGCTGGCTATTTCTTGTTTATTCCGCAGCTTAGGAACAGGGGGATTGTTCAAAAAAAAAAAAATCTGCATTTGATTTAAAACAAGCTGTATCTTGTACAGCTGCTCCAGAGTATGTGTCTGAAGTGGGGAGGGGGGGCAGGAATTAAGCAGGGTAAAAGATTTCCTCTTGCTGCAGCTCAAGCAGGGAGAAAACCTGTCCCACCCTGAGAAAGGGAACGGAAAGAGGTTTCCCTCAACGATGCATCGTGAAGCAGCTCCGGTTTCGGGTGCCCAGCCCAAACTGCGCCCTTGGGAGGAGAGAGACGGAAACACAATTGTCCGTGCTCGATAACGGCCTCAGCAAAATAAACACTGGGTCCAAAAGGAAACAGCCCCACGGCAACAGCTGGCGGTGAGACAGAGCATCCCGAGGACCTCGGTCTTTCCCCAGCAGACGGGGAGGCTCTGGATGACAGGACCCAAGTGGAAGAGATGGAGCCCAGCTGCTTCGGTCAGGCAGAAGGGAAAAGGTTTGGCAGATGCTTGGGAGCAGAAAAGGCCTTTGAGGGAGCCAGAAAGGGAGGAGAGATGATCTCTGGCAGGAAAAGACATCTTTGACTGCAGCCAGCACCGGGCGGAGCGGGTGACAACCAGCAACAGCGCCCACCGTGCCCTGCAACGATGCCCTCCCACCGGGCCGCATTCGGCTCGTGTAGCCCAAGTGCCTCCGGCAAGCTGGACCCCTTCCTCAGCCTCCCCTACGGAAGGGGAACATATACAATTTGGATGTATCCCAAGAGGGACTGGCAAAAGCCAGAGATTCACATCAAAGATGCAAACACCGTGTTTCTCCACAGAGAGCAAATAAGATAGGGAACCCGACAGAAATCCGCCCCAAAACTGGACGTGCCTCTGGCCGACCGCGCTCTGCAGGCAGCAGAAACGTTTCGGCACGCAGCCAGAGAGCTCCCTCCCGTTCAACTCACTTTTTGGATCTCGCACCGCAAGAGACCCCGGCTGCCACGAAGGGCCTCCTGCATCCAACCAGGTGCAAATCACTGTCCCCTCCACGACGCCCACAGGATTTTCTGAGCGTCACCCGCAGGGGAAGGGAGACTTTGGGGCAGCTGCCAAACGCCTGACGCCTCATCCTGAAAACTCCCCTCGAGGGAAGTCGGTGTGGTGGAGCTGCTGGACCATCAGATGAGGTCGGTCAGGTTGCTCCAGTTGTTCTCCATCGTCCTTCCTCCACTTCTAACACGCCGTCCGTTCAAACTCCATGGAACTGCCAACACGCTTTTTCAAGCAGCAGGGACAAACCTGCGCTCTCGAGACACGATTCTCCTTTCCGGTTCAATTAAAACCGATCTGGAGAAGTCACCTAACGCCGGGACTCGCCTTTCCCCCGAGGAAGGATGTCGCTCACTGGAGTCCCTTCAGCAGCACGGAGGCAGTCTCAGTTCGGTGCATCTGCCTTTAGCGGCCAGCGTGAGGGTCTCTCCACCAGCGAACGAACGGTTCCTGCTTCCAGCGGACCGAGTCTCTCCCAACCTCCGTCCTCCAGCGGACGGTCCCTTAGCTCGTGGGTAAGGGAGACCCGCCAACTTACACTGGCAGAAGGAGCCCGGCCCCGGACTCGGCGGCGTTTCCACAGAACTGGCAGAGCGTTCGACCTTCTCAGTGTTTACGGAGATTACCGGGCTTGCACAACAGATGGCCAAGTTCGTGTTTTCCAGGAAATCTGCAGCGACCGGGAAACAACGCAGGGTTACAAAGGACCGCTTCCCCTGCGCCTGCGATGCCCTGTCCGAAGGAAACGCCGTCAGGAGCGTCCAGCATCACGTGACGCCTCCTCCGTCGGCCCCAGAAAAGCCGGGAAGCTTCACAGCAACGCCAGGACACGCTTACAATTAATACCTAGATTTTTTTTTTTTAGGATAGGCCCCTTTTTCAAAGCAACTCTCGCGTTTGAATCCCCGTTCCTTTTGCATTCGGCCCTTTGGAGCGAGAGCGCGGGGAGAGCGTGCGCCCCAGCCCCAGCCTCT